ATCACTATCACAATCAATGATTATAACACAATTAGTCCCATCCTTAAGCATCGCTATCACAATTCATTCTCTCCTCGAAATCTGGATTGGGCCCCCTCTTACAAATAAGCGGCACTCCCAAGATTAAAGAGTTGGCAGACCCTCAATAACCCTTAACCGAACCGGTCCAGGTAAATAAGTCACCCCACATCACTTTTGTAGCATAAAATTAACAGAATTTTTTTGCAATACTATCCTTGTTAGCCTTATGTAAATCAACTAACGTAGCAATTACATAAAAAAGATTTGTTCCACTACCAATAGAATAAAAACAGATAGGCTTTAAAATATAAACAGTTTCGAGATAACTGGAAATGGGCCCACTCTTACAAATAGGCGGCACTCCCAAGATTAAAGAGTCGGTCGACCCTCAATAACCCTTGACCGAACCGGTCTAGGTAAATAAGACACCCCACATCACTTTTGTAACACAAAATTAACATAACTTCTTTGCAATACTTTCTTTGTTAGCCTTATGTAAATCAACTAACGTAGCAATTACATAAAAAAAACCGTTCCACTACCAGTAGAATAAAAACAGATAGGGCTTTAAAATATAAACAGTTCATGTAACTTTCAAATGCATATTGTAATAGACAGTTCATATTAGGAAGTTTGCATTCCTTCATTCATTGAACTGAATTTTTCCTGTTTATTTGAAAAGAAACAACTTACAAGATTTCTTATTAGCTTATTTCTGCATCAATCTCACAATAACAAGTTGCTTTAAGCTATCAACTCAGTGATGTATACAGTCCTAAGTTTCCTGTTCATGCAAAAACAATAACAATAGCGATAGGGTCGCTCATTAGTATATATCAAGTATGTTCTAAGGACGGTTTGCGACTCTAATGGCTAGCCCACAAAAGTGCCACCACCCCCACAGGTCCAATAGCAGGATTTTCCCGCCTATTGGCTGCTGCCAGACCTTGTGGGCCCCATTTTTTTATTAATTGAAACAAAATTAGGGTTATTTTGCTTAGGAACACTTTAAATATGTTGCTACTTTTTTGTTGGGGTACTTTTCTTTGATTTATGAATTATTTCTCTGAATTCAACCCTAAAGGAGTGATGTACCAATTCCCTAATGCAAGTTGTGTGCTTGTAGCTTGTTCGGGACTATGTGGTGGATCTCCCTTGTTATTTGTGCTTGCTGAAGTCGCTATTTGGTTGTTTTTCTGCTCTCTCCCCCCTTGATAGGAGCCACCATTATCATTTTGTCCTCCAAATCACACAAACTTCACATATTCTCTTCCTCTTACCTTTCTACAGCATTCACAGCTAGATTCAATCACCAAACATCATCTAGAATGATATCATTTGATATCAGAGTGAAATCATTATTTAAATTCATAATCCTAACCCAAAAGCTTCAAAATCTATAATTCCTATCTCCACCAAAAAACTATCTTTGCACCTATTACCAAAACCTAAACATCGGCCGATCCTAGATTCACAACCCTACTGATGCAACGGAAGCGAGAACGCTTCCCGCACAAGGGAGTTCCCGCGTAAACAACATCTGCTTTGCCTGGACCGCACTAGTGCAGGATTTTTCCTTTTTTAGGAGTTGCCCGGTTCTTATGGGTCACAACCTAGTTATCCTCTTATTATATACTTATTTTCGTATGAGTCTAGGGTTAGTTTTTTTATTGTGTTTTTGTCAAGATAGCTAAGGTTGTATCCAAGGGCAAGTGGTGCTCTGGTTGTATTTTATTTTGAGATTGTGATTCTCCTCCAAGAGTCTAGTGGTGCTCCCGCGATATCTAGCTCCTAAGGTGGTGTTTATCCTTTCCCAACTCCCCATTACAGCCGCCCCGATAGCAACCCTTATGTTGTTCTTCCTGCAGTTCCTCACTGCTCAGCCATCCTCATCGCTGCTGCAGCCTAGGGTCAGCCCTCCTTTTGCTGCCCCAAAGTCTACGCTTTCCCCTCCGCTGCCGCCGACACTCCCGCTTGCTGCCACCACTCCGAACAGCCATTTATGGATGTTTTGCTGCAGTTTCAACCCTCACGAACGACTTCCCTACCACCTAGCCACTGTCCCAGGCCTATTGTAGTGCCTCCACATATCCGTCGTCCAACCAACTAAAACCCCCTACTTGTAGCCTAGCTTCTATTCTAGCCACCCAAAACCGCTTCTGATTGAGGTTTCTCCGCTGCCCAATCCAACTATACACTTGTTGTCATCCCAAACAGCGAATATTCATTGTTTCCCTGTTGTAGCGCCCACTTGTCCACCTCCCCACCATGTTGTCACCTTTTTGGATCCTCAATAGCCACCACCACCACCCTCGGAACACCCTAGTCACAAATTGTGTGTCGTGTTTATTGTTATTTCCTATTTCCATGTGTTGATTGTAACTATCTATTTATTAATTTTTTCAGTTAAAATATATGTTTGTCCATTGTTGTTTGGATTAATTCCCGTATCACCCACCCTAAAGTGAGAGTAAGTCACCTTATCGCCAAAGAGAAACCCTCAATGAGGTATTCAGAAGTTTAACATCGAGGATATGTAGCGGAAAATTCAAAAATTGGGGTCAATGCAATTCTAGCCCAATTTGCATGACATCACGTCTATAGTCCATAGTCCATTTTCATCATTGCATTCGATCGGATTAAGTTGTGGAGCAGAAAATGAAGTCAATATTGTTCCCTATATGGAAAGAGATAGGCACCTCAAGTAAGATTTGATAAATTTTTATCAACCACACATCATTCTATTTTGAATAAAGCTAATGACTGGTCATTATTTTTCAGTACAACATCAAATGAGATTTCCTTTTTTAAAATTATGTTTATGATATCGTTAATAGGACATATTTAGCTCTAATTAGTCGTTTACAACATCTTTTGGCCACATCTCTTATGAAAAATTTGGCGCCCTTCTTATGTTTGGAGGTTCATGCGAATTCCTCTGATACTTTCCTAAATCAACATAAGTAAACATAGAATCTACTTAATTTAGTTAGACTTCAAAATAGCCTCTCTGGATACTCCATTTTAAGTAAAAACAAATTACCAAAGTGAAGAAGCTAATCTTCTCCCTAATCCCACTATATTTAGATAATTGATATATAGCTTAAACTATTGACAATTACTTGATTGGATGTTTCCGTCGCAATTCAACAAATCAATTTATGCAAAATCATCATCATTTACATTTGGTTGTTGTTCATCAAATCATTTGATATTCTATTAAGGCGTTGAGCCACGCCTTAATCTTCACTTGGTTTTGTTCTTCATATTATGGGATATAGTGATGCAGGTTGATACTCGATGCTCAATCATAAGTGTATATTTTTTTATGATTCTTTCATCTCACCTAAACTAAGGAGTTCGAATATTGTGCAATATTTGCAACATGTTTGAAGATTTTTCGCAGCCCAATCCCCCTCCTTTTGGTAGACTTCTAATTAAACTTGGTTTTTTGCAGATCAATCCCCCTCCTCTACGAACAAATAATACCAATGATATCCAAATGGATACAGGTCCGGTTTATCCTGAGCAAACAAAACATATTGAAGTTAATTATTACTCAATTCGAGAAGTTCTCTACACTCTTTTTTTTTCCTAATATCTTTACAAACATTCAAATACTGAACACATTTCCAAAGGATATGAGACTAAACATTAGTTTCTTGTGAGCAAATTGATGCTTTTTGATAAACCATCATTAATTTGAGATAAGGCATCAACAAGATGTGCATTTATAGACATATCACCACATCAATTATTAGTTGTATATTATGACTAGAAATTTGCATAACTAATTAGTATAGTTGAGATAGCTTTAGATTATAATTATTTACTTTTTAATTAGAACAGATTTGATTGAATAAATCACTCAATTAGTGGCTTATATGCCATATTCTTCCCTATATAATGAGCAAAAACCTTTAGAGGAGGACAAGCAATCTTATATATCAAGCTTTGTCTATTAGGTGAAAATTTTAAAATAACATTTTTTATAATTTTTATTTTTTAAATTGACACCAAAAAAAATTTGAGAATTAACCAAGTCGCCATATCAGCGGCGACGTGGCAAAGTCGTCTAGTCATCGGCGATGCGTCAAGCTCTCCACTGACATGGTGACTTGTAAAAAGAAATTTTTTTTTAATCATACATAAGAGAAATGAATTTTCCAGGACTCGATCAGTTTAACTTAACCAAGGTGATGGAGAAGCTCATATGGCTTTTGGAATCTGTTTTCGTGAGTTTTTGCTTGCATTCTTTGTACTTTGCAAAGTAAGTTTTGTCAAAACACTTCGCAAAATCCCTTTATTACTTATTACGTAATTTTTCTCAAAACACATTATTTAATTCTATTTGCAACCAAACAACTTAATAAAGTAAAAAATTCTAAAGAAAATAAAAAAAAAAAACAAAAACTGCATGATACAAAAAATGACTAAAACTGGAGAATAATAGAAAATGGCATAACAAGTAATAAAATGGAGGCCTAGATTCGTATTTGACACCTAATTAGGAAGAGCTTCAGACATCATCAAGAGAATCAAATAATCACTTTGCAAACTAAAAAGAATGCAAGCAAAAACTCGTCGGAAGTAGATCCCAAAAGCCATTAGAGCTTTTCCATCACCTTAGTTAAGTGAAACTGACCTAGTCCTGCAAAATTCATCTCTCTTATGTATGATTAATATATATATATATATATATATCCCATCCTCGCATGTCCATATATATATATATATATTTCAAATTGCCAATGACTAGGCGACTTTGCCACATCAACAGCAAAGTCGTCGTTGACATGGCGACTTAGTTGATTTTTAAATTTGTTTTTGTGTTGATTTAAAAAATAAAATTTTAAAAATTTCACTTATCTATTATATGCATGTGTATCTTCTGTAACTTTAATAATAAAATTTTATCAATCAACATAATTAGAAAATGTTAGTAAATACTCTAAAGCCAAAAAGTGCACTTCACATACTTCAACATCGAAGATTGGAAAGGAATACCCAAGTCATGGCATAGATGACGGAGAGTTTCCTGTAGAAGAATTGAAGAATAACTTCAATGCTGAAATCTATTTCACAAGGATTAAATAGCCGAAAAAAATGTTATTACAGATATCAGTAAATTAATGCACAATGATGCCTGGCCAGAATATTACTCATGCTGAATAAGAATGCAATTTCAGGATTTCATCAGCCATGTAAACAGCCTAAAATGGTAACTAGGCATACCAATATGCTTCATAATCTCGTTCACATTGTTTAAAAGAAATTTCTTAAAGCGTTTTTGTTTAATAATGTTCATAATAATTATTCGTTATTTAAATTGTGATCATATTGTCTTCACTTAATACAACTAATTTAGGTATCTAGATCTTCCATTTCTTGCTTCAGCTATATCTCATTATTCTGCATCTATAATATTTAACCTACAAAACAAACCAATAAAAGAAAGAACTTTAAGTTCACTTACCACCTCTTTATAAATATTCTAGCTTCTATAAAGTTAGTGTATATAATATTAGTTTCACTAATTTCTTTTATTGAATGAAAATTTCTTACTCTGATTGATAACCCTTAATATCACTTGGCTCACCATCAAATCTCATTTCCAAGGTATGATCTATAGGGGTACCCCCTGTGAAACTTTAATAAGATATCCTTGATGAAACTATCCATTTTTCTCCAAAATCAAATCTAGCTCAACCTCAAAATTCCAATTTAGTCTCTTTTAACAATCTACCTTGAAATTCCAAATACTCTATTTTAACAAGCTGCAAATAAGGCTAAACCATGGAAGACTAACTTATCACTTTTAAGCTGCATCACCATATCCACAGATTATTCTTTTTTAATTACTTTCTCCAAACTCATGAATATAGATCTAGAATTCTTGGGTAAAGTTGTGTGTGGGCTCCGAAAATTTCGATGCCTCGGACTCTATTGTCGATATGTCAAGAGAGTTTTGAGGGTAAAATTTTCATAAAGAAGATTGGATTGTAGCTAGCACACTATCCAGAGATATCACCCTCATTTTGTGAGGACTTTATGATATGGGGTTCCAGATTTCCCATAAGTGAAAGCCACCTAAGGACAATTGTACCTCATAAAAATATGAGAGTATTTTTTTAAGTCTAGTAATTAAGCACAAAATAATTAATATATAGTAGCAGCAGACATGCATTTTAAGTTGTAAAATTTATCACTTAGAACTTAAAGCGGGTGGCGGGGTAAATAATGATGAACTTAATCACGATCCCATGGTTCTATCATCTCAAGTTGTCATGGTTACTAATCTAGTTCGTCAAAGGAGTTAGTCAACCAAACATGGTTGAAGTATTCTTGTTAGCAATCATAAGTTGTGTCGTTTAAGAGACCCTTATAAATATGGGGTGAATGTTTATCTACAGGTAAAATTTAAGTCCAATATAACTAACAGAAGATTTTATGTCAATCAGATGTACATTTATGGTTCACAACTTAAGCTGTAAAAAATCATTTAGCAACATAAAGGTTGCGGCCGTAACAGTAATATAATGGTGTCATTTGGCGACAATCACACGGTTAGAGAGCTTTGACCTTAACCATTATTTTATGGATCCTTTGAGCTAAACAATGCGAACAGAAGACTTGGGGGTCATGTCTTTAGTGGTGTAAAATTACTTTAAGCATGAATATAATGGTACACTCGATGGGACATTAGCTCTTTTGTGAGTTGAAGTCAATAAAAAATTTATCACTCTCGACAAACTATTGTAGATGATGGATGCAATTCACTTTAAGACTTGAGTGATTTAATTTTAACCTGAAATTTTAATTTGTTACTTCAAAATTTTGAGTTGAAAAATCTTAATTTAAAAGGTGAGCCCTCTGGTTGAGATTTTCAATCAATGCGGCCATCATCAAAGGATTTGAACATTTAAATTTTTTATGCTTAAAATTCATTTAAAATTTGTCAATTTTAATAATTTTAGCATGTTAGTCCTGTCGACTCTAGTTCTAATAAGGAGGTGGATCGGACAAGGTAACTTGAACTTACAAATTCTTATATTGGTGATTTGAATATTGATTTTAAAGTTATTAGACTCATTAACTTCAGCCTACGAGGAGGATCAGACTAATTGAATGAGACTTGCAACCTTGTTCATAGACAAGGCAATTTGATAGATTGATTTTCAAAATATGAATTGTTTTAGTGCATGTTTGGCCTTAACCCACCAAAATTCTTAAACTATTCATTAAAACATTTAGATTCCAGTTGAAGCCCATGCAGGTTTGACTTTATATGTTTCTATAATTTCAATATATTTATAGGCTTTAAGCAACTTGGATGATCTTTTAAAATATTAATTTGAGAGGTAGTTTGTTTCAAAAGGGCATATGCAGAAAATCTGAAATCATGCATAGCTAATTCATTTATGTACATGTTCTAAATTTATGCAACTCGAGAATATCCAACTTTCACTCGTAAATATTTTAAAATACTCTCACAAATCTCCAAGTATTGCATTTGATTTAGAAAATACTCTTGAAATTTGTACTCGTTGAAATCATTCAAATTTTGATATATTCGCAAAAATTATTCTAATCTTTCATTTACACAACTTGATTTGGGTCTTTCAAAAAGATCACCTTCAGTTCACTGGCATACTTATTGTGAATTCGAAGGCGAAAATACATATTAAGTAACTGCTTTAGGATTTAAACATGAAATTTAAATTTTAAGCATAGCCCTAATTTATGACACTTCAAATTTAAGTCAATTTGTTAGTCCCTAAGCTTAGCCCTCGATTTATGATATTTCATATTCAAGTCAAGCTTTGTTTTCCAATGAAATTTCACATTTAAGTCATGATGCGGCCCTACCCCCTTTTCTTTTTCGCTTCCCTCCTATTCACTTTCCTTTTCTATGATTCTTCTATTATACTCATTGCATATTCTATGCCCTTCTCAATTTTTTTCTTATTCTGATCCTTACCTACTCTATTTACTAATCGCTATTATAAATATATTGTTGGTAGTATTAGGGTTCAGTTTTTTATTATTCTAGATTTCCGTTTGCCGCCTTTGAGACATTCTTCCCTTCCGAGGGTTGTATCGAATGACGAGGATGTGCTTTGAATATAATTCATCCAAGGTGGTGAACATTAGGCTCGGGTGGTGCTTTGGTTGTAGGTCGACCCCACCGAGATATTTATCGTTCTAACTCGCCATGCAGCCCGCTGTCGTCATCATCTGGGCACTGTCCACCCTCCAAGTTGTTGTCCAGACCGTTGTCATCTTTCGGGCATTGTCCACGTTCCAAGTTGTTGTCCATACCACCGTCGCATCTTCCGGGCACTGTCCACCCTCCAGGTTCCTGTACAGACCACCTTCATCATCCTTCGGGTGTTGTCACCCTTCAGGTTGTTGTATAGATTGTTTTGATCATCTTCCAGCCGTTGTCCACCCTCCAGATTGCTGTTCAAACCGCCGTCGTCATCTTCCGGTCGTTGTTCACCCTCCAGGTTGGTGTCCAGGCCGCCGTCTTCATCTTTTAGATGTTGTTCACCTTTCCCTAGACGCTGCCAACAGCCCTACACCATTCTGGTTCTCTCTAGCACTACTGCTACCGCGCACCTTTCCTTTCCAGCAGAACCTGCCGCCCTCCTCTTGAGAGAGTCGTTCATGTGTTTTATACCGTTTTACTTCTTATTTCGTGATGATTTATTCTTGTTGTAGGAGTCATCATTGTCGTTTGATAGTTTGCATATTGATATTGTTCTATGTTGAGAGTCATCGTTGTATTTTCTTTGAATTCAACAATAAATTTGTGTCATTTGATCATGATTTTGGTTAACTCAGTGTCATTTGGTATCAAAGCTAGCCCAAACCTAATCCCATCTTTGGTTTCCCAGCATCCTCCCCAACCCAAGCCAACTCCACCAAATAAATAAATAAAACTTTTCTTTCCAACGGCCAAATACCCTTTCCACTAACACATATCCTTAACCCTAATTCTTTCTTGCTGAATTTCAAAATTAACAACCTTAAACATTATTTTTACCCTCTTTCATCTCCCAATCCTAAATCCTAATCATGAATAAGGAGATACATGCCCGAGCCTACCAGAGAAGAGATGCAACAAAAGAAATTTAACTTCAACGAATGCTTGCGGACATTGAGGATGAAATCCAATGGGAGGTTACCTTTGACTGTTATCGAGAGAGTCTTAGAAGAGAACGAGAGAATTTGAAAATGAAACGGGAGACACAGCGCTAGTTCCTACCAACTTACTACAGACAAAAACTTCAAATCCTAACTTAAGAAGAGGAGAGACTGCATCACCAAGCGACCACTCAATTTTACAGACAAATTTTAACCTCAGGCTTTTACAGCCAGAGTTGACCCAGGAGAACACCCAAGACGACCCTGTCAGAGGAAAAACCGATTCAAAGTGGAGAACAAGTAAAATCAATCTGCATCCCTAAACCTATCACAGTTATGAGGTGTTACAAGGTTCACGGATTTGAGCATATTGAATTAGACTGCACGACCAAGTGAGTGATTTGTTTCACCGAGCAGGGCATACTTCAAAAAATGAATAATGACGCAGTAGATGCTCAAGACCGAGAGGACATAAAGGAGGACCAGCTTCTAGTTTAAGAGATAAATAGAGATCTAGAAGAAGATGCAAACTTCAGCGAGGATTCTCAATTTTCCGCCAACAAGGAAGGGGCGCCATCAAATCCAATTGATCCTAAGAGATTCTAGCTAAGGTAACAATAGTCGTTCTAGAAGGTAGTGAGTCTAACGTAATGAACATTCCAACAGAGTACGAGATTATGGCGCCTCAAGATAGCATTTTGCAAGCTTTGGGAGGAGCATTAGCAATACTAACATTGAATGTACAAAGGGGCCATGAGTTTGAGAAGTTCATATCAATAACAGGACAGCCCCATAAAAGAGAAATTCGACCTTTCAAATCTACAAACTCATCCCTGAGTTGGCCCTACGGAGGGAGGTCTCGTATGTCAGAGATGAGACTCTTTTGTG